CACACACACACACACACAATACAAATGCACAAGCTCTCACTCAAAACCTGAATTTTAGAGACAGAAGCGTCTGGAATTTTTTCACAGCCTCCCACAGACGTCCTCGAACCTATCATTTTATTTTCTCTGCAGTGGAGCAACGTTGACGTATGCTCATCGCTAGTGCAGCTGAATTTTAAAAGGCTCTACACCCACGCTCAATACCACTACAGCAAGCATAATTATCATAAACTTTCCATGCTGTCTGTAGCCCTTCTGTCTATTTGATTCTCCCAATGTGTTAGTTTGCAGACATTAATTCAGTGTTGATGTAGAAAGAGGGAGGGTGAAAGTGGTCTGGGAAATTGTCTTTTTTGAAAATTGGCAGGTCATTTTGTAATCACTTGTGCCATTTAATCACCTTGGTGTAGGGGAATCAAAAGCACATGTTTGCATATTTTCACTGTCTATGTGTGTTCTTGTGTGCACAGATGCACAGATTAGCTTCTGTGGCAGCAGAACTACAGTTTGTTTACATTATGTGTGTAAGTAATTCTCATAGTGGCATTTTTTTTAGCTATAACAAGAATTCCTGTGTGTTTTTCATTATCAAAATATGATTCAGATGTTTCTAGAGGACTGCTTTATAGGCCTATCTGTAATCTTTTGGGGAGAACCAGAGCAAGTGTTAAATGTGCCACAGAGAGCTGAATAGTCACACCCAAGAAGCATCTACAATATGCTCCAGAGAAACTTATAATTAACAGTAATAATTTATTCCCTCCCATTTTTTTAATGATATAGTGACAGATTTTTAATTTTAGTTATTTATCCCCAAGCTGAGTTGCCACAGTGCCAGGACCACTCAGGGAATTCCTAGCTGTTATGAAAAGTTATTGCAATGTAGTAAATTAAACCTGTTGATTATTTTACAGATGAATTACTTGGTCTATAAAACAGCAAAAAAAAAATAATTAAAAAATAAATAAAAATGTGCATCAGATTTCCCATAGTCCATGTTAATGGTGCTGTTTAATCACCTGGGTTGAAAAGCACATTTACATAGTGCTTGTTTTGTCAGTTCAAAACTATAACCTAAAGTAATCAATTAAAGCCACAAATAAAAAGCATGTTTTATATTTTTGTCAATTATTATTGTTATAACATCTAGTTCAGTCTATTTCTAGGAATTCTCTGTGAGATTTTGTTATTGTTCTCTGTATTTACTTAAAAATAAAAAAGAAATGATCTTCTTCTACCCAAATGGGGCACAGCTAAACAACCAGCTAAAAATATTAAAGCCCCAGACAGAATCTTGTCGACTAGCAAGTCAGATTTCATGTCTGGTCTGTGATAATCACACTTTCTGACTGTGTCCAGTGAGGTCAGCTGTCTCTTCAATCAAGGACTATTTTTATAGCTATGAATTAATTTCCTCTGCTTTCTCCATGTTTGACTTCCTGTGTTAAAATTTAAATTCACATGTTCACATTAAGCTATATTTAAAAGTGTGACATCAATATCTATGAAAAGTCATGAACATTTCTGTTCTCATTAAAGCTTGTGAGTCACTGCTGCAAGCTTTGGTACTGATTTGTCACGCGAGGCTCTCGTCGAACGCTTCTGAATAACGCAGATGACATGCATGTTTGAATGTGTGTGTGTGTGGGTTTTTTTTTTTGTTGTTGTTGTTTTTTTTAAATAGGTAACACCAGATAATACTCGTCAGGTGTGCTGCTGTTGTTTATGTGTGAATGAAGTCAGCAACACTTTATTGACATAAAAAGATTGGGCGGTGTTCGGCTACAACCACCTACCAGTCAGGGAGCTGCATTCATCCACTATTCCTGTTACCCTGTTTGCCAGAGGAAGCAAAC